TAGTCCATTTAGCCAGTTTGAGTAAGTGCTATCGAAGATGGTAAGAAGCAATTTGGGGGTCCCTGTGAGAGGCCAAGATAACACTGTTGTCAGCTTAATGCTACAGCAAGTACTGGTGTAAAAGCTGGTTGGCATGTATGTATAAGATATAATGATTGGGTTGACCTTCCTGTGAGACAAAGAAGAACCTCTCCTCCAAATATGATCGCAGTAGGGAATAGTATTGGTGAGGTAGTTGTTTTTTAAGTTCAGTGAAAAGACTTTATTGAAACGACTTATACAGGATGAGTCAGAAAGAGTGGGAAATCCGAATACCGGAGATAGTAGACACCAAAATATGATGATTTAACGTAACATCTCTTATACAAATGTCACTGGTTTTCGAGGCATAGAGTGTTGAAAGTTAAATTCTTATTTCGAAATTTCTTGATAATTTTGAAGGTTTTTGTACTATTAACATAAAATTTGGTAGTTTTATGTTTTCGAGCATGAGAAATACGAATTTGAAACTTGTTTTGTTATTGCTCGTAGAGGGCGCTAGATACACGCTGCTCGTTTGATAAATCAAATCATAAGTTTTTTGGCTCGACAGCTACGACCAATAAGAGCTGCAAATCACAAAGAGCATTCAATTTTACATAAAAAAGGTACTCTTATTGAAATTGTCTAAGTCTATCGGTTTTCGAATTATTTACTTTTAAATGTTTAAATGTATTTTTTCTTCTAAAATATTTATTTTTTAACATAAGCAAAGTTGGGTTATTTTTCCGCTTATGTTTCGACAATTGCCTGTTAATTGTCAACATTGATCTAATTTCCGTGTGCAATAATCATTTTTACCAACAATAAAGTTATTACCAATTTGAAAATGCCACGACATAATGAGTTTTTTAATAGTGAGAAATCCAGATTTAAGTCCACTGGATTTTTGAAAATGGTCACAATATTCTATTGTTATTAATTAATTGTTATTGTTATCGATTATTATCGTTACTAATTGCTATAGTTACTGTGTTTTATTGATTTTAAATGTTAACCTTAAAATTACTTTGAAACAATTAAAAGCAGATAACTTGGAAACCAGTAGACTTAGACAATGTAAGCAAGAGTACCTTTTTTGTGCAGAATTGAAAACTCCTTCAGATTTCTGGTTCTAATTCACCATACCTCAACTGACAAAATAGTCATGACTTGATATCTCAAACGTACAGTGTGTATCTAGCGCCCTCTACGAGTAATCACAAAACAAATATCAAATTCGTATTTCTCATGCTCGAAAACATCTAACTACCAAATTTTATGTTAATAGTACAAAAACCTTCAAAATTATCAAGAAATTTCGAAATAAAAATTTAACTTTCAACACCCTGTGTATTAAAAACCACCGACATTTGTATAAGACATGTTAGGTTAAATCGTCATATTTTGGTGTCTACTGTCTCCGGTATTCGGATTTCCCATTTTCTCTGACTCACCCTGTATAAGCCTGCCTGATATCCAATAATGCCGCTGTGCAGAAGCTATTTTCTTTGAAAGTCTATCTCTTTGTTTTGACGATTCTATGTACTGGGAAGTATTCGAGTCGAAGCATGCCATTAAAAATGTAGGTAATGAGTTTGAGCGGTACTTGATTCAATATTTGGACTGTAATCAAGTAATCATAACCAGGGGTTTTTTAGGGTTAAAACTTGTAATCACACTGAGAAGGTCTGCTTTTTTGAACTTTACCGTCAGTAAACAAATTTGATGAGATGCCTCAAGAGTGTCCACTATGTGTTCTTCAATGGATGAATTTTTCTCATGTGAGGTTGAAAGACTGAAGTTAGATATTCCGCAAATGTGAGAATTTTTGATGATCTTTCTATCAGTCTCATTCACTCATATCTAAATGGGAGGACGCAGCTGACAAGAGTCAAGAACTCTACATCTGACTCCTTGCTAATGGTGAGAGGGGTACCACAAGGATCACTCTTGGGTCTCCTCTTATTTCTATTGTTCTTCAATTACTTTGCATATTATCTATATAAAAGCAGGTCTTGATAACTGTGATTGCATCCTATATGTTGATGACACTACAGTTTTAATAGGGGGTAGAAATCGGGATGATATTGCTGGTGGGGCTGAAGGGGCACTGTCGAGGACACGGGACTGGTGCCTTGCGAACAAGCTTTGTCTTAATGAAAATAAAACTGTCATTTTTCCGTTCACATTGAGGCAGATTGACGCTTCTTGTCCCGATGCGATGTAACCAAGTTTTTGCGCCTCTACATTGCCGCTCCTGCACTGCGTTTAAGTGAACATAGTGAGGAGATGGGCAAAAAAGTTTACCGTCATATATTTCTTCTAAGGCAGCTTGAATAACTGTAACGCCAAAAGCAGTAAAAAGTGCTTACTTTGCATTTGTTTATTCCATACTGTCTTACTCCATACTGACATGGGGAGGAACCCTTTACTCAAGATTTTTTGACTTGTTAAGTTCCCATAAAGAGTAGTTTGTTCAAGCTGAATTTTTTAAACTTTCCAGGTAGCGTCGTATAGATGTGTTTTTGGACGCAGATAGGGCATTTCTTAATTTACGAGCGGCGCGAATGAGTTGTCGTGCAATGAGCGGGTTCTCCATTTTTTCTTAACTTTCTCTTTTCTGCCATTTGCTGTAATATATGATTTGGATAAGTATTCAATTCCGTCCGTGTGTTTAAGTGCCGGTGTTGTAACCCATACAACTTTCTGAATACGATTTGAGGGGAATTTGGGTGTCGATTGAGATATCTAAGGCATCTCTGAATACCCGCCAACTGATGTTCTTGTTGGTAAGAAAAGGATTTATTGTTCTGCGTGCATCTACATGTAAATTTACTAAAAAGGGTTACTATTACTCTGCCTTGTAATTCTAGAAAATTCAATCCCTAGTTGTGTTAGAAATGTGTATTTTATTCAAACGTGTCATTAGATTCCGAAGTGAATCTAGGTTATTTCCTTACCGGTGGAACCTTTAGAAGGTACAATCACCCTGATTGTTTTAGATGTTCAGGGAACACTTCGTTCATCGTCTTGCACTACGTGTATGTATTTACACTACTCTGCTAATGCGCATTGTCCCAGATACACTTTTTGTAGGTTTCGGTATCCTATTAACATTTTGTCAACAATTGTCTCATTTTCTGATGAGGTCCAGAAAAATTTACATGTTTCGGCTTTGTCTACATTTGTTCTGCCATCTCCACTACTTTGTATTTTGGCTAGATATTTTGTTCCATTTAACTTTCTTGATTCTGATTATTATTCTTTCTTGATTAACAGTTGTTAGACATTTTTTCCTTTTGGGTTTACCTTGGTTTCCTTCTTCTTCTTCTCCAGATCCTTATGCCTGATGGCGTCCGATAAATCTTTTCCTATTCCTCCGTCCACCTCTCCCTCCGGTTCCTGACTAATTAATTTATGTCTCAATTATCAACTTTTTCTCTTTATGTATGTATCTTTGTGTTCATAAAATGTGTTTGTTATTATCATGTCGTTAAGTAGACAAAAACCAACATGCGCTTCTCGTTTCTATTTTGCTTGTCTTCTCCATGCATACATATCTCATATTTGTTGTCTCTTTTCTAACTTAGTTATTAAAGTCGTCGAATATACAGTACGGTTCGAAATATCGTCCGAAACGTTTTTTATTTTTTGTTAATCCAAATAGTTTTGCATAAAAAAATTGTTTATCACTTTTAGTTTTTCCAGAAAATGGGTTAACTTTGTTTTGTTATCATTTTCTGATAGAGCTAAAAAAACAAATATTATTTAATTCGTTTTTATGATATTAATTAATAAATAGTTGGATAAATGCAGCACGCGCAACCTCGAGCTGTGTAATCTAATGTACAATCTTCTGGAATATTATCTCCTTCCAACTTGAAGAGTGAACCTATTGAAGAGTATTGCCAAAAATTCGTATAAAATCTCTCTTAACGTTATCCATAATTTAGCGCCTCCCTATATATTCTGCTTTAAATTATGTCAAGTTTGACATCTACATTATCAAAAATTTATTACAGTAAAACATGTAACATGAAAATTAAAAAGTTTGATTAGTGTTGCAACAAAATAATGTCAAGAGAGAAACCCTTAAATTTACTAACATTAAAAAATACAACAATTAAATCATTTATAGAATCATTTGACACGGTTATTGTATCTATTGATGGAGTTATTTGGACGCAAACTCATACTATCGATAATTCGCAAGAGTCCATTACGAGTTTTAGACAAATTGGAAAGAAACTTTTTTTTCTAGCGAATACTTCCTCGAAAACTCGCGAAGAAATAGTTGGTAGAGCTCATAATGAAGGTTTTGATTTATTAAAGGTTTAAACAACCATTTGTTAAATGAATTTATATTTGAGTTGTGTACGTAATTAAAATGTTATTTTTAAGGAGGAGATGTTAACATCTCCATATTTAGCAGCGGAATATTTAAAAGAGATCAGATTTGAAAAGAAAATTTTTGTTATTGGTTCTGAAGGATTGCTTAAAGAATTAGCTTCGGCTGGCTTTGAATATGTTGGTTATGGGGTACCATTATGGAGTTAAATTCTATTTAAATACTTTAAATAAGTTGTTTTAGCCGGGCCCTTTTATAAATTCGTCGTTAAATATTCATACAGATCCGTTAGTTGGTGCGGTTTTAATAGGTTTAGATCAACATTTATCTTATCAGAAACTTTTAAGCGCAAGTGCTTATTTATCAAATCCGTCGATTTTATTCCTTGCTTGTAATTCGGACGATAGTGTTTCTTTTAATGAAACATTAAAAGTACCTGGTGCTGGTTGTATTGTTAAAGCTTTAGAAAGATGTACTCAAAGAACAGCTCATATTATTGGTAAACCTAATCGGTTTGCTGCGGATTTTCTTATGAAAAACTATAAACTAGATGCTGAGAAGACTTTAGTTATTGGAGACGGGTACTTGTTTTTAAGGGTACAAGTTTAATTTTTATTTGATGTTGTTTCAGATTGAACACTGATATATTGTTTGGTACACGATGTGGTTTTCAAACGTTGTTAGTTCTAACAGGAGTTACTAAATTAGAAGATGTTGAAAAATTGCTCAAATCTAAGACAAAGGAAGATAAAGATTTAATACCGGATTTTTATATAGAATCCATAGGACACTTAGTAAATATTCTTAACTCGTAATGTTTTTATGTACTCGTTGAAATTAAATCAAAACTCTTATAATTAATATTATTATTTAAATCAGATTGTATTTTTATTGTTTGTTTAATTATACTTTATATATTTAATATAATTGAAAACATGTTATAAAGTTTAATTAACTTAATTTATATAAAAGTTATAGATAGATAACAAACAATCGATTTCAATAAAGCTGTGTGTGAAAAACTATAAGAATATCAAAAAAGGTAACATAAAAGGATCTTCTTTTATGATAATGCATTATCATACAGCATAGCTGGTCAAGGAAACGATTGAAGCTTTTACAATAGCAATTCACAAATTATCAGGCAGGTGGGGAAAATGTATAGGTAGCGATGGGCAATTACTAGTTCAGATTCCTCATACGCTGCATAAAGGTTGAAAAATACGTCAAGACGAGAGAAACCTGTTGATGTGCTCATATTGTGAAATTCCTCGAAAATATTTTGTTTTATTATATTAAAAAAAAACTAAAATTATGACAATAATATACTATAACATGAATAAACAATTAGTTTCCGTTTAAACTTTTTTTTATATTTTTTTATAAATTTAATAGTTTTTAATCTTAATACTTCCGATCAATATTTCCTGAATAATTACTTTTAACGGATAATAATAGATATTGAAGCTTCTTTTTTTTGCGGAAACCATAAAGCGGATTTTGTTTTACCTGTATTTCTTGTGATGCGAATGGGTGCCAAGAAATGGAACATCTTTCCTTGGTGATCTTATGGATGTTGACGTGAAATTTCTTGCGATTCTTGGCAGTATATTCCTTTCCACTCGTGATACGTGCTCGTTCCGGAGTCTCCTACTAGTTTCTAGTTTCCACTGTGACTGCTCGCACCTCCGCACTGTCACTGTTGAGCTGACGCAGCCTTTGTATATCCTTACTTTGATCTTGGTATCATCTGGAAAAGTGCCTATATATCTACAGGTTCTTACAAGGGAAGTATCAGAACTGTCCCTCACCGATTTTGTTGAAATTTGGTACAGCGATAGTATGGCCAAAAATAATGTTTACGTATTTTTTTATACGTGCTAATAAAGCCCCTGGGGCGAGTTATAAGGGTTGGAAATCGGGGCGAACGGAATATATTTTCGTATAGCTTGAAGACAAAAGCAGCTATCGAAATGTGGTAAATGTAAACTGATATTCATTTTCAAAGAACTTTCCATTGATATATCACACATATATCTGAGGGCTTCAGGGGGTAAACTACCCCTAGTTTTTTGGAATATTTTAAAAACTACCCTGTCGATTTTGACGATATGTGTCCTTATAGTACGTTTAAAAATATTAATGACGTGTTTTTTTTTATTAGCCTCTGACCATTCCCTGCAAAATTACGGGGTATTATAGATAACCCCTTTCCTTAATGCTTAGATCACACGTAACAAGTATAGTGGCGAGACAGTAAAATGTCACTAGGCCGAGAGAGTGGCGTGGCCGAGTAAGTGTTTACACGTATTTTTCTGTTTTCGACTTTTATGAAGAATAAGTTCAGTTTGTTATCGAAGCTACAGTCGAAAATCTGTAGTTGCGTATCGGAACATGGACCGTAAAATGTATATTAAAAAATGTACTAAGTTACTTATACCGCTCTTAATAGAGGAATTAAATAAATTATTGCGCGAAGAAGATAGACGTGTTTGGACAAGACAATGGATTTTAAGGAGATCAGATCTTGGTGCTACAAACACCCTTTTCAATGAATTGCAATCAGAAGATCCTGATGAATTTAGATCGCTTCTGAGACTTGATATAGAACATTTCAATACGTTGTTGGAAAATATTACTCCAATGATACAAAAACAAGATACTATCATGAGAAAAGCTATACCTGCGAAGATTAAATTGCAAGTAGCTTTAACTTATTTGGCAACAGGGCTCAGCTACCGGTATTTACAAGCCTTTTATCGAATATCTCGGGGTGCAATATCATCACTAATACCAGAAGTAATGGATGCAATATCTACGTATTTGGAGAAATTGTTAAAGGTAAGTGATTTTTTGCAGGGTTGTGTGAAAACACTATTCTTTTCAACTACAGTTCGGAGAAATCCTAAAAAAATACCTTATTTCTTAAAATGTATTAATTTATTAGCAATTTTTTAAACTCTAGTAGAAAAAATCTTGTATGCAACTTATTAGGAAAAGTTTTTTTTCCATTCACTATGTATTTTTTAATTTGGCTTCGCGTTGATAAAAATCTCAAATCTAGAATGGAAAGAGTAACTTTTCCTAACCTGTTGCACAAATAGCTATTTCAAGTCCTTGTGAGATAGGTACTAATAAATATAAAGATAATTTAATGAATAACATTTTTAAATTGATTTAAAGTGTACATTGTCGCTTGTTATGTCGTTGTTCAAGGCGGCAGTCATAGCTAACGTTATAATATTAGTAGTGGTCTCTAGGGGTGTAAGACTTGCTGAAGATATCATGGGAGGGTCATCAATTCGGTGAACATCTATTACGGTATTGTGATTCACTGGTACGCCAGATGAATAATCATTAAAATGTGTATCGGAAGCATAAGAAGATACAGGAGATGGCGTTCGGCTGCTGTAATTCGACACAGACGAACGAGACGCAGTCTTCTCTTTACAGTCTTTTATCCCGAATTCGGTTAGAATACTTTGAATTCTGCATTGTGCTAACAGAGCATTCTCTACCGACAGACCTCTCAGTTGCATTGCAACACTCTTTCCGAAGACGTCAAATGCCGATTCTTCTACACAATTAACTTCCTCGTGTAGGGATTTCAAATCAGAGATGGCTTTTACTATATCCCTACTCCTCTTCTTTGCCCGTGGAGTATTTCCAGTATTTGAAATAGTTGGTGTGGTAATTGTAGTGTCGCTGGTTGTAGTTACTACTTCTTGAAGATTACATGATTGTAAGGGAATAGCAGACACACTTTCTTGATCATCAGCATTTGTGTTGGTTGGGTTGGGTTGATTCAAAGTATTAGTCTATAAAATAAAAAGAATCTGTGATTATTTCAGGTACCAGAGAACCATGAAGAATGGCGGAAAATAGAAACGGGTTTCAGAACTAGATGGAATTTTCCGCTAAAATTTTCCGCTAAAATTTTCCGCTAAAATTTCCACTATGTCAATATTGGCGCAAATGGGAGAAACTCGGATGGTGGGATTTTTAGGGACAGCGCATTACGTAGCTCCCTTGAAAATAACTTGTTACCAACAGGTGGTATTTTGGTTGGTGATGATGCCTTTCCATTAAAGTCTTATTTATTGAAGCCATACTGTGGTAGAAATCTTACAAAACACACAAAATATTCAATTACCGATTATCCAGAGCACGCCGAATCGTTGAAAATGCGTTTGGTATTCTGGCAAGCAGGTTTCGAATTTTTGCAAAACCCATACCAACTGATGTATAGATACAACCGATAAAATTATTCGGGCCTCGTGTGCTCTGCATAATTGGTTACGTCTCACAAGTTCTAGCCACTACTTGCCGAAGGGTTGTGTTGATGAAGAAGATATTGATACAGGAACCATTATTGAAGGGACTTGGAGAAGAGAACTCATAGCTCCCTTGCCATCTGTTATCAATCACAATACCAATAATGCAGCACGACAAGCAAGGGAGCTTCGAGATAAATATGCCGAATTCTTTAGTGATGCAGGTGCTGTTTCGTGGCAAGACAGAATGATTTCATAATTCCTTATAAACTACAAGACACCTAAATAAAAATAAATAAATAAATACTTACATTTTCGTATGTCTTTCTTCTTAAATCATTCACGAACACTTCTTCCATTTCCTTAAGCCATTTTATGTTAGAAATATATACATTGCCGAGACCAGCACCAAATTTTTTTGAATCATTCAATTTTTTTAATTCTTGACTGTACGTCGATCTTAAATTTTTAATTTTATTTTTAACATCTTGTATTCGAAAACCAGCAATATTCATGTCTTGGGCTATGGCAACGTATGCCGCGTCTCGTTTTTGTTTATTCTTGTACTCCGAAGACTCGAAGTTCCACAAACATGGATGTAATTTATATGATTGAATGAATTTAATTGTGGTTTCACAGTCCCATTTAACGTTAGCCATATTGTTAATAACGAAATCACCAAACTTCAGGAAACGATAAAAAAGGAATACTAAATAAAACGCAATTACAAACACATGGGTGGACGCTGTGCGCGCGCATGTGAAACACGTGCAAACACTAGCCGAGTGGTTGTTTACACCTGTCGAGCGGCCTAGCGAGCCAGTCAGGGGGTGCCGGGGGTGCCCACTCGGTCCAGTAAATAGAACATGGTCCGAGTGACTGTCTCGCCCTGGTACTAGGTCGAGCGCTCGGCTGAGTACACTGTCTCGCCACTGTACTCGTTACATGTGACCTAGGCATAAGAATAATGTGATAAACTGTAACACTTTTGAACAATATTTTGAAGAAAACCATAAATTAGTTGTAAATTAAGATTTACGCAGTAAAATAGACAATATACGACATTAAGGGGTGGCTGGGGTTAATTACCCTAACCACCCCAAAAACAATTTTTTTTTGCGAAAATTGTTTGTCGATTTTGTTGCAATTTCCCACGATGATTTTTTTATATGTTAGATAGTACTATTGTAAGAACTTACAAGGGTTAGAAGTTTGGGGTATAAAATATATTTTCGCTAATAACTTTCATACTCCTACAGAAAAATGTTTTTTATCCTTATTCTATTTAAATAACACAAAAGTTAGGATAATTATATAAATATTTCTTAGTAATGAGTTAAAAAGTAACTGTCAAAAGAATGGTTGACTATCACAAATTCTATTCTACATTATTAATTTAATTTCTTTTTTTGTTGGCAATAATGAAAATTATGAAAAAAATGTTTTAAACTCAACGATTGTTTACACCATGCACAAGTTATAACAGCTATATCTCCACAGATATCGCACGTAGGTTTTTCATTGGAAAAGCAAACCTCCACGGGATTTTCAAACTGTTCTGGTCTCTCCTCTATATATCTAGATGCAAACTAGCCGTATTTAAA